CCAGTTGCGTGCGTCGTCGCGCATTCCCTCGTGATCGAGCTCTGGGGTCTCGACTTGATAGGGGAAACCTCCGATGTCCAAGCCAGGCAGTATCCTGCCATTGGCTGCCGTGAGCTGCAGCGCAGGTCAGCCGTTGCCGGCGCCCTCGACAACCGGGCAATCATGAACGCCATCTGTTCGGTCGAAGTCGCCACCTCAAGCGAGTTGTCAATTCAGGCCACAAGGCTGAGCAGAACGTCGTTAGGAAAAGCCTGCGGCGCATAACTCCCAGTCGAGGAGGGGCGGGGCTAGCGCGTGGTCTGGAAGGCATTGGGGGGGAACAGCGCTTCCACCCCGCCTTGGCGACCCCCTCGGGTGCGATCGAAGATTTCGGATATTCCCATTCCCTCGATTTCGATGCCCGCTCGCAGATGTCGCAGCTCCCGCGCGACTGCAGCGGCGTTTTCGTCGGAGGCGCCCATGGCCCGAAGACTTAGAGGAAGTGGGCAGTGACGCATAGAGTCGAGCGCGCATCGGACGTCGAGGGAAGCGACGACGACCGGGTGTTCCTTGCATTTCCCGGAGACCCAGAGCAGCTTAATGAAAACATATATGAGGCGCGGGGTGCGTCGGCCAGCGCAGAATCCAGAGATCTTGCTTTCGAGCTGGGCGGCCTGGCGCCGCGCCAGTTTGACGACCGACCGTGAGAGTCATTTCTGGGCGACGGGCGTTATGCAGATGAGCTGAAAATCAACGGGGGGATGTCAAGATGCCTCTCTTTGTGGGTAGCTCAATCAGTTCCATGAGTGTCCAGCGCCCCCCCCCAAACCGGGCTGGGCGTGGATCGTGACGCCCATCCAAGTCTGAATCAAAACAACGAAAGGCAGAGGGGGGGGCACCTCAGCCACGACTCCATCTTGCGCGCCTGCGGAGCCTGCCCGAAGACTCGCACGACCATCGAGAACGTCGACGAACCTACGACCGCCCTCCCTGCAGTGACCCCGATGCCCGTCGGGGCGCGGCGAACGTGCGGCGGCCTCCAACCTATGCTAAGCCGCTCTCGCCTCCGGCGCTGGCAATGTCTTCCTCGTGACGGGCTCTTCCGAAAACGCTTAAAGCTCGACGCCAATGAGCTCTCTGAGGGTCGCCCGGAGGGGCGACGTGCGAGGGTGGGGTGGGGTGGGGGGGGGGCTCGGGAAAACTGGCGCCCGGGACATGCTTGCGCCAGCCTGCCTGATCGAGCTGCGCCCGGGCTCGGCGGCGACGTCGTTGGCGCCGAAGTCGGCCATGCTATGCTGCTTTCTGACGTGGTTTGGTATTGGGCGCCCCTGTCGAGCCCCCTGCCGAAGCTGGCGTCGAAGATTTTGCGCTTCCAGCGGGACTTGTCGCCCTTGCACAGTCCGATCCACTGGGTGGTGCGAGGCATTGATGTCGCTGCCCGTTGGATGTCTTTCTCTCGACTCCTTACGGTTCGGGGGTGCGCCGCAGAGCGAAGCTGCCCATTGCCGTCCGACGCCATGCCGACGCGCAATCGCTTGAAACCATCGGCCGCAGCAGGACAGTCGGGCGCCCAACTTGTCATATTAAAGTGCTTGGCGCGGCACTGCGTCGCAGCAGGAGGGCTCGGGGCGGCGGCGAACAGCGCCCAGTGGTCCGACTGCGACTTCCGGGCAACCTTGCACTTCATGGGCCCCGCCATGGAGGCGACGAAATTGCTCGAATGCCCATGTAGTCGACGTGTGACTTGCGCCTGCGTGTATCATGCCATGTGTGAAGTATATGACGCGGAGGTTGGCCCTCATTCCCCTGCGCGTGGCTCTCCTCGAAGGTGGCGGGGGCGCGCGCGCCGCGAGCTCGCGTGAAGTTGTCAGCTTGCCGCGCGCGCTCCGGAGGGCACTTGGAGCACGCTCCGATGGGCGTCGTGCTGCCCGCGAGCCCGTCCAGCTTCGCTGGCAACGTGAGGTTGGAATCGCCTTCGAAAACCCATCGTTTGACGGCTTGTTGCCCGGTCTCCCATTCATGGCAGAGTTCGGAAAAGGATGATGATGTAATTGGATGTTGGCTGCCTGCGGCCCCTGTCGGGAAGTGCCTCTGCGGCTCCGTCGGCAAGTGGGGGGAGGTGCGTGCTGCGCCCCGCAGCTGGAGTGCACAAAATTGAGCATGGTGAAATTATCGTTGAACGTCGCTGAGTTAAAGTCTCGGGGTGCAGACCCCGCGGTCCCCGGTAGCTTTGGTAAAACACTGGGGTTTTCCGAAGGCGCCCGGCTCCCGCGTTGGCATCTCCTGCGGCATCAAGACTCTCTCTTTGAGCAGCTTGCCCCACCTGCAGATGAGAGACCTCTGTAAGGATTCCGTCTTCTTCCTAAGCTTCGCGCTGGGACTATGCTTTTGATGTCCTGAATTTCCCTTCCCTGGCGCAGTCATTTGCGCATTCGCAGCTTGATGGCCTCCTTCGTCCATCCTGTTTTCTCTATGCCCTGGAGGTCCCAGACGATGCTGGCGGAGCACGAGATGCCGCTGATAGTGACGTTCTGGCCCTCCACCTCCACCTTCAGGGTCTTCTCTTCCTCTCGGTGGTCACGGTCAACCCTTTTGCCTGCGCGAGCTCGGTGGCTGCATCCGACATGCTGCCGAACGACTGGAACTTAGGGATGCGATCCATTGATTTTCGGGTACTTGTTGGATAGATGCAGGTTGTGGTTCGTGACGGTCTCGGTGATCGATTTCCTCACTTCGGCCAGTAGCTCAGGAGGGCAACCGACCCGGAACTTGAAGATATGATCTGGCACTTTCGCGTGGGCGGGTCCCAGCTTGCCTTTGAGGTGTCCTGGCAATTGAGCGTCCGCCTGCTGCCACCAAGTCTTGGCCGTCGCGATTTTCACCTCGAGCGACTTCTTCTGGTGGAACTCGCAAACCTTGATGTCCAAGTGCGACGCCACCCAGGCACCCCCGCTGGCCGTAGACGATCCGCCCAACCTTGACGCTGGTGAAGCAACTTGCTTGCTCTCTACCTCCGTGAGTCTCCGCTCGATGCTGGTGCAGCGCTTGCCCAACCCGTCGAAATGTCCGTCGACCCTCCTCATCTCCTCGGCCAACAGATCGGACGACCGGGCAGTGAACAGCTTCAGCAAAATCCTGTTCTGCTTAATCAGCTCGCTCATCTCGGCCTCCTGCTCCTCCTGCCGGGCTCTCTTCCTCTCCGCCTCCCCAGAAGGCAGAGCCATCGCGAGAGTCGGGAAAGTGTGTCAAGTAAGGAACTGAAAGCTCGGCGCAGCCAGAATCCAGCTTGAGCCAAACTGGCTACGGCGGAATTGGTGCACCAACTCCCAGCGCACCAACAGCTCTGCCAGGTCGCACTGTGCTCCTCACTGCTCGTTGCGGTGATCCATGCTGCAAACGGTGCAAGCGGTTGATCCATGGGCTTTGGAGGCCTGAATGCGAAGGAAGTCTGGAGCGGGAACCTCCCGGCATGAGGAGGCAGCCAGATGAGGGCAGGTGGAGGAGACAGGACAAGTTAGGAGCAGGAGGATGAGGGGGGGAGGAGGAAGATACAAAAGGGCCGCAGGAAAAACGGAGGAGGGGGTGAAGAAGAGAGAGAGAGAGAGAGAGAGAGGGAGAAAGAGAGAGAGAGAGAGAAATAGACGAGGCGAACAAAGAAGATCAGGACTATGACGCCGGCCAAGAGGTCGAGGAGCTTCAGCGGCGACGTGCTTATGCTGGTTGAGGCGGCGACTGCGTTCAAGAAAATAGGTTTGCGCGTTCTGGGAGGAGACAGAGGAGAGGATAGGAGGATAACCTCAAGGACGACGATGAGGACTACAACCACGCGCGCGCTTCGAGCGCTGAGGTTACCCCCCATTCGTCCCCCCGATTCTCTTCCACTCCGTCTCCTATACCCCCCTCAAGATACCCATTCTTTTCCCCTTTGCTCCTCATGCCCCCTCTCCGCTCCTGACCTCCGTTCCCCTTCCCTTTTGTCCTCTACCCCTCCTCCTGCACAGCAGTTTTCTTCCACGAACTGGCAATTACTAGGACTGTGCGGTCAACTGCGCATGGGAACAAAAAATTGCGAAATCACCCACTTGGATGGTTGGCGTCATCGTCTTCGGCGCGAGTAGCCATGTGAGACGACTTCGCGCTGCCTGCGTAACCGTCGGTGAGAAACATCAGACTTAACAGAATTCCCTTAGTCAATGTTGTCGTGCTTCCCCCGGGTGCGGAAGGCAATTCGTTGTAATCTTCGACCTGTCCAACAACGGCGCGGATGGATACTGAAGACGCCATAGGCCAGCTTGGAGTGAACAGGTCTCTTGAGGATCTTCCTGTACTCCAGATTTCGTAATAAAGGGAGGGGGGTCTCATTTCGGGGGGGGGTCTCTTCCAGGCTATCTTGGAGGGCTGGGGGGTCTGGGGACGATGTTCTGGAGGGTTCTCCCACGGGGGAGGCCTGAAATGGCTTGTCTTGGAGGGTCCAGACCCCCTCCCTTTTATTACGAAATCTGGAGTAATGTCTGAAGGCTGTCTTGGGGCTCCCCAGGGGCACCTGGAAGGCCCCCGAAGTTCTTGGGAATTCCTCCGCCACGCCGAGCGAAGAACCGCAACGCAGGCGAATTATCCTCAGAACGAAGTGGAATCGCTGAGGGCTGGCAGTGTCAGTGTCCTGGGAGCGTATGAGGAGTGACTTCGTCGTGTTGGCACTACTCGGTCTCGATAGAACCTCGAGAACAAAAAAAGCAAAAGGTCTGGCATCTTTAGACTCGCGGTGTGTTATATAATGCTCGAGCTCCGCCTGCAATTTGAGCAGAAACCAATGATCGAGCTCAACTTCAACGATCCAGTCGCAGAAGAATTACCACACTACCTTGAAACCTTGGGGAGATAACCCGCGCACGCTCACCCTGGGGCGACGTCTGGCCCCAGGGCAGACGAGCGGAGAGAAAATCCCAAGAAAAAAACCGCCAGAACAACAGTAGCAAGCCGTCATCGGGTTGCCACCATGGCCAGGTCCACGCTGAGAGAGGTCAGACCTCTTCCACCTGCGCGGAAAAGAAACGTCCACATCCACAAATGGCGGAGTCGTGCCCTGGATCCCTGAGGAAAAACGGATATGTATACTTTCTCGCCCTCAGTGGTGGGCAGACATCCGTATCCGCCACGTCTTGAGAGGTTGTGGGGTACGACTGAGAGACGGTGGACATGGAGGACCTGGATACATTTTGGCCGTGGGCCACCTTCCTTTGGGAGTGTCCTGGGCAATTCTGGGAAGTCTGCAATGCCCTGGAAGTCCCGCAAGGGTCTGGGGAATCTTAGGGGGTGCAACATGGGTGGATAACCCCAATGGGATGACCGCAAGACGCATTCGGCCAGGAAGCTCGTCGAAAACACTGGCGATCGGAGCCCCAAGATACACTCGGGGGGGCGTCAACGGACCACCCTACTTGCCGTCGCTCGGACGTCCAGTCCCCGTGCATGTTTCCGATTTCGTGCGTGTTTTCGTGGCTCGATGATCCAGGATGCTCCTCGATGGCCCTCGCCGAGGAAAAAATGCACACGCCCGAGCGATGCCAGGCCTTCCAATCCTGGCCAGGATCGGTGAGGTGGTCCGTTGACGCTCCTGGCCAGGATCGGTGAGGTGGTCCGTTGACGCCCCCACCCCACCACAACCATGGTGCACCCCTGCTGCAGCCGCCGGAGTGCGTGGCCCCAGGGAAACCCCGCATTGCTCTGCCCCTCCCGCCTCAATCGGCAGGCGGGATCTGCAGGAGCAGGCAGCTCAGAGCGTCGGTGTGGCGATAGTAGGCGTCGGCTCATTGCTGTCGGGCTCCTGGCTGTCCGCACCACGGTTGGGCTGAGGACTCGAAGTCTTGATGCGTGCCTCGAAGAAATTCCGCGAAGACATGTTTTTCACGATCTCGTCATCGTCCTGCAGCAGCTCCACCTCGATGAAGCGAACGCCTCGTTTGAGCCGCATTAAGTCGAAGTCCCCGAGATCCACCAATTGTTTCCCAATCTCCTCCTCGCTCTTGTTGCACAGACCCTGGCTCATCCGCAGCAGCCGCTTCCCCACGTCACGAGCTTTCTTCAGATCAGAATCCTTTTTTGCCTGCTGCATGTCCTTCGAACCGAACTGGTCTCTCAAGAAGACATCCGCTATCGTGCCACCCCAGCACGTAATGGAGCGGAAATGCCGAGGTGGTCTGGCGGGGTATCAGTGGTATTCGAGAAGGCGGCCCTTGCGTGCACCCCCCCATCACGAGGCTGCCTGGGCTCCATGACGCTAGCGAAGCGGTCTTTACACCGCCTCCCCTAACGTAGCCAATCCCTACCCTAACCTGACCCAGGCCCTGTCGACACCGCCAAAGCCAATCTGACCAATTGAAGTTAACGTGGCCAGCGGCTCGGCGACACCTGTGTGACACGCGCGCGCGCTGTAGCAAATGATGCACCAGAATGGGGCGACACAGCAACATGCAATGCAACAGTGCCCACTGTATCACTAATCCCTCTTCGTTTGCAATGAAGAATCTGGCCAGCGCTGAAGACAAAACAACTTTCGCAATCGTGGACGTGGCCAGCGCTGTGGCGAGAGCAACATTCCCAATCATGGACGTGGCTGGCGCTGAGGCGAGAGCAACTTTCGCAATCGTGAATGTGGCCAGCGCTAAGGCTAGAATAATTTTCGTAATCCTAAGTGTGGCCGGCGCTGAAGCGACGGCAACATTTGCAATCATGGATGTGGCAGGTGCGAAAGCGAGAGTAATTTTCGCAATCGTGGGTGTGGCCCGCGCTGAAGCGAGAGCAACGATCGCAATCGTGGATGTTGCCGGCGGCAAGGCGACAGCAACACTCGCCATCATGGATGTGGCCAGCATTGAGGCGAGAGCAACGTTCGCTGTCATGGATATGGCTGGCGCTGAAGCGACAGCAGCCGTCGTAGTCGTGGATGTGGCTGGCGCTGAGGCGAGAATGACGTTCGCATTAACGGATGTGGCCGGCACTGAGCGATAACAACGTTCGCAATCATTGACGTTGCCGGCGAAGATGCGAAAACAAAACTTGCAATCATGGATGGGATGCGGCGTGGATCAAGGCCAAGAAATGGTCGATATAGTGGATGCGGCCACCACTATTGAAGCGAGGGCATCCGTCGTAATCGTGGGCGAGGTGTCCCACGGAACACGCGCAGTGGCTCGATCGCAACCAGCAGCACCACTGAGACGAGCAGCGCCAGAAACAACAGCACCATGCGCAGCAGCAACAACAACACCACCGTCAACAACGGCAGAAATAGTAGTGCAAGCCACAGAAGCGCCTCCAGCAGTACCTCTCTGACGAACACGGCAGCAAACAGCACCACCACCACACGCAACAGCACCAGCACAAACGCCACCAGCAACAACATTGTGACCACATTGACAGCAAACAGCAACACCAAACGCAGCAGCACCAGCTTCACCACCAGCGCCACTGTGACGAGCACGCCTGGGAGCAACAACGCCATGCGAAACAACTCTAACGCAACCAGCAATACCAGTGTGACCATCACGACGAGAAGCAACAACACTACACGCACCAACACACGCGCAAGGAGCAGCACCGCCGTGACGCGCACGACAGGATCCAGCAGCACGACGCGCGCCAACACAAGCACCTCCAACAAGACCACTGTAATCAACATGACGGGAAGCAGCAACACCACGCGCAAGCAACACAAACGCCACCAGCAGATCCACTAGAACGAGCACGACGGGAACTAGCAGCGCCAAGGGATTCGCGCTGGACTGCGCGAGCGATCCCACCCCCCTGGCAGGCCAGACCAGCGGGGGGAGGCGTTCACGCCAGCACAAAGCGTCATCGCCCAGATCGTTCAATTTTGCGCTGGGGACCGGAGCGCCCCAGAGAAGAAATGCCCATCCGCGCGAGGTTTTGCGAACCCCACCACGCGAGCAACTGGTGCTCGCCCCAAGCCCGAACGGCGGTCGCTCTCAGGGAACGGGTTGCGCCAGCGGGGGCCTACAGTAGCAGCGCCAACCACGAGCGCCAGGGCGCGCGCGACGACGGGGTAATGACTCGTCGTGGGCCCGCCGTCAACGCCCGCCGCCTGCCGCCGCCCAGCCCGGACAGCAGCTCCAACACCTAGCACCGGCGCCCTGTCCAGCCATCAGCATCACACGCGCAAGCAGCACCAACGCCACCAGCAGCTCCACTAGAACGAGCACGACGCGAACCAGCAGCACCGAGCGATTCGCCCTGGACTGCGCGAGCACCCCCTCGCCGGCGAGGGGGGAAGCGTTCCCTCGCCCCAGCGCAAAGCGTCACGGCCCAAATCCTCGCTTTTGCGCTGGGCACCGAGGGCGCCCCAGGGCACAGCCCACAGCCTGTCCCACAGGAGCTGGCTGCTCGCACCTCGCACCGCAGTCCACGCGGCCTGGCGGAGATGCGCATGACGACCCGCGACGCGTCGGTCAGCAACACGAGCGAAACGAGCAGTTCCACTGTGACCAGCCCGACAGGAACCACCATCGCCACCAGCAGCAGCAGCACAAGCGCCACCAGCAGCACAACTGCGAGTAGCAAGACAAAGGCAGCAGCAAGAGTGCCACGTGCAGTGCCACTCCACCATGGCCTGTCGGAAGAAGCAACACCACGCGCAGCATCAACGCCGCCAGCAGCAGTAGCGCAAGCAACAAGAAGTGCCACCAGAAAATGAGCCAGAAGCAGCGCCACTGTGACGAGCACCGCGAGAAGCAGCAACACGACACGCAGAAACACCAACAACCAGCAACACCACCTTGACCCGCACACTGGGAACCAATAGTACGACGCGCACCAGCTCTAGCCCAACCAGCAGAACTACCGCGACAACCACTACAGCAGCATCGTCGCCGCCACCAGCAGTGCTGTGAGCAGCAGTGGCAAAACGACGCCAGTAGTAGCTATCCGGCCGCCCGCACGGTAGCATGCAGCACAACCACGCACAGCAGTACGAGCGACCCGAACAGCTCCAGTATGACGAGCGCAACGAGGACCAGCAACAACACACGCAGCAGCATCAATGCCGCCAGCACCACCACTGCAACGATCACGACGGCGAGCAGCGGCGCCAAGCGCAGCAGCACGAGCGCCACAAGCGGCACCATTGCGACGAGCACGACGGGAACCAACTGCGCCACGCAAGGCAACACCAGCACCATCAGCAGTTCCACCAGAACGAGCACGACGGGAACCATCAGCACCAGGCGATTCGCGATGGACTGCGCGAACACTTACACCCCCTCGCAGGCGAGGCTGGTGAGGGGGGAAGCGCTCCCTCGCCCCAGCGCGAAGCGTCACGGCCTGGATCGTTCGATTTTGCGCTGGACACCGGGGGGCGCCCAAACAAAGATGCGCAGTCCGTCCGTGCGAGGCTCAGCTGGGAGGTGCGAGTCCCGCACCGGAAGCAACTGCCCCGGAAGCAACTGCCGATCTGCCAAAGCCCGAACGGCGGTCGCTCCCAGGAGGAAGGGTTGCGCCAGCGGGGGCTTATAACATCCGCCGCTCTGCGGTTGATCGGGAGTTTCTGTATATATAGAAGAAGGGGCGCGCGCTTCTGGGCGAGAGGGAAACGACCGAGAGAAGAAGGGGCGGCCGCCGCGGCGAGCGCGAGGACCGCACTACCCAGGACCGCCGCGGCGAGCGCGAGGACGAGGTAATGGCTCGTCGTGGGCCCTCCGTCAACGCCCGCCGCCTGCTGCTGCCCGTCCCAACCAGCAGATTCAGCGCCCAGTCCCTGTTTCTGTACATGTCCCTGTTTCGGTCTGTTTCTGTACATGTCTCTCTTCGCCCCCTTCCCCACCAATTCTCACGGGAAACGTTTCTGCACGGGTCGGTGAGGATACGTGGAAAACGACAAATGAAATTCGCCGGCCCAACGGGCCAGGGCGTGCTAAGATCTCCGGTACCTGGTTAACAGTATTTCTAGTTCGCGCGCGCGGGGCGGCCCCTGGGGGTCCCCGGGCGAAAAGTACCCCGGCAAGGTCCCGGCAAGTCCCCGGCAAGGTCGGGTCAGAGATGCCGGAGTTCTGTTTCGGAGTCCAAGAGGGCTCCAGATCGGTCCAAGAGGGCCCCGAGAAGCTTTCTAGACGGTCCAAGAGAGGCCCGAGACGGCCAAAGATCGCCCGAAGACGCCCCAGATGGCCCCAAGACAGCCCAAGAGGCCTCCAAGACGCTCCAAGGGCCTTCCAAGAGGCCTCCGAAGAGGGCCCCAAGTTGCCAAAATCGTTGATTTTCATTGGTTTTTTCTATGTTTTTTTGCGTTCTGGCCTTTTCGCTTCCGGACGCTCCAAGAGGGCCCAAGAGGCCTTCAAGACTGCTCCAAGACGGCCCACGAGGCTCCCAAGACGGCCCCGGAGCGGCCCAAGAGCGCCCCCCAGACGGCCCAAGTGCTGCCCAAGGCGGACCAAGAGGCCCCAAGACGGGCCCAAGAGGGGCTCAAGAAGGGAACCGAGAACTGAAAAATCGAGCCCTCCGCCCCAGAAGGCGCCCAGGACCCCGAAAGAGGCCCCAAGAGACTCTCCAAGACACCCCCAAGACGCCCCAATAAGCTCCCGTGAGGCCCCAAGAGGACCAACAACGTCAGGCCCCAGGCCCCAAGAGGACCAACAAATACCGCCAAGAGCCCGCCGAAAGCCCCCCAAGAGACCGTCACGAGAGCTCAGGAGGCCCCCTGGAGGCCTCCCGAGTTCTCCAAGAGGCCTAAAAAGAGGCGCCAAGAGGCCCCAAACGGCCCCACCGAGGCTCCAAGAGGCCACGAACGCGCAAGCAAACGCCTGCGATGGCACAATACGGGCCGGCGGAATGAGCGAAGCGATTAAATAACCGTTTCGCCCTGCTCAAGCCGGCCGGTCACCGACAGGCTCCAAACCGACCCGGGGCCGCGACTTTTTCTCGATCCCGTGCACAAGATGGGACGCGGTGCTCATCGGCTGATAATGAGATCGTCTCACCTTGAACCAAATCGATACTTTTCGAGGTGGGAGACCTACCCAATCAATGCGCCCTGTGTCGTGCAAAGATTGTGCACATCCCGATTGGGCCCTCCCCCGCGATCCGATGAAAAAACGCTACGGGGTGCACATCGGATCTACCGAACCCTCACGATTCCTGTGCCCGCGCGCGGATCGAGTCCTTCGGCTGATCCCAACATCGTCTTATCTGTACCCCCCAACCCCACGATCCTTCTACAAACAATACCATGTGGTGGACATCGGCTGATCCGTCATAATACAACATATACCATTCGGTGCACACATGCTGATCTTAACATCGATCCAAATCTCACCACCCTATGAAACACATACCAATTTCGGCGAGCATCAGTTGGTCTTAAAGACCGACCTTCTCCTTGGTCCAGAAGAGTCTGGGAACAAAAAACATAACACGCACCTTCTTGCAAAAACAAATACGTAAGCAATGGATGCGTTTCGGGCACCCCTCGCCAACTCCGATTTGGGACACCTGCGCTCCCCAGGCTGCTCCAGGCGCTCCCAGGCGTTCCCTGATGCTCCAATCGCTCCCCAAGCGCTCCAAGGCTCGCTGTCGCCATCAGTAGCAGCTGCAGCATCCACAATATCATCTTCAGAGGAGGTCGATCGTACGAGGAAGGATAGCAACAGGACCCATGCACGCCCCAAGACCGCCCCGAGACAACCCACCCATGCTCGGACAATACAGCAAATGCAACACCGCGTTGACGCGATAAGAGGATGGGTCGATCTTATGGACATGGCTCAGGGCGGGAGGGGATAATCCGCGCAGGCACTAGGTGAACCACTCAACCAAAATCCAGACACCCTAACCCTACACCGCTCGGGCCCAAGGAAAAACAACGGCGACCTTATGCGGACGGGCACGCACGGATTGGATGGCTCTTCAGGACCTGCAACCATCCCGTGCGAACGGACACGCACGGAATGGCTGAATGTTCGGGCCCCCAACCACCCCGTGCGTGCCCGCCCGCATGAATTCGCCCTTTTTGCCCCGCAGCGGCGTAGAGCCCGAATCATAACAACCTAACGCCCTAACTCCAACACCCTAACACTACTACACGAACCCAAACACACTTAGCTCAACAACGACACCCTGACACCCGATCACGAGCACCTTAACACTAACACCCTGACCCTGATAACCCAACCCTAACACCCTACTCCCAACCCCACCGCTCTGTCCAACCACACAGGCCCTAACCGTAACACATCTGACCCCGACAACGTACTCAGATAACAGTACAGAGATGAAGAGGCGGTTCGAGGAATAGAAAGTCGGCTAGTGAATATGTGTACGCATTCCTGTGTGCCCCTGCGGGTTCCAAAGCGCGACACAGGTGAGAACACGGCCATGTGCACCGAAATGGGCAATTTACATAGGGTCGTGGCCGCATGACAAGGGTGAAAACACGGCCGTGTGCACCGTATACGTGTTTACTAGGGATCGCGGCCATGTGACTGGGGTGTGAGCACCGCCATGTGTTGCACCAACATGAATGTGTTACAAGAGATCGATCGTGGCCGTGTGGCAGGGATGGGAGCACGGCCATGTGCACCATCGTGTATTCGTTGTAAGGGGTCGTGGCCGTGTGACAGGGGCGGGAGCACGGCCATGTGCACCGTAGTGTATGTGTAAGAAGGGGTCGTGGCCGCGACATGGGTGAGAGCACGGCAATGTGCACCTAGTGGTATGTTGTACGAGGGATCGTGGCCATGTGGCACGGAGTTCTGGGAACTCGAAGAACACGAAGTGGCCTACAGTTGGCTCTGGGCATTCAAAATCATGCCCAAGAATGGAGTTCTGGGAACTCGAAGAACACGAAGTGGCCTACAGTTGGCTCTGGGCATTCAAAATCATGCCCAAGAATGGAGTTCTGGGAGCTCGAAGAGCACGAAGTGGCCTACAGTTGGCTCCGGGCATTCAAAATGTGGCCCGGGAATGGAGTTCTGGGAACTCGAAGTGCACGAAGTGGCCTACAGTTGGCTCCGGGCATTCAAAATGTGGCCCGGGAATGGAGTTCTGGGAACTCGAAGAGCACGAAGTGGCCTACAGTTGGCTCCGGGCATTCAGAATGTGGCCCGGGAATGGAGTTCTGGGACCTCGAAGACCACGACGTGTGTATCTGTTTGCTTAAAACGACTTCCGCGGATCCCTGTCCGGATGCCGCCCAGACCCCCCTGGGGAGTCATGATGCTCTCTTTTGACACTACTAGAAACCTATCAATCTTCGCTGTTAGGTAAAACAAAAAACGGAAGGGCTTCAATGAAGACGGCGAACCTCGGCCACGATGGCACTCCCCGACCTAGACCGAAGGAGCGGTGCGAGATCCAGAGCCCGTCTTGAATCGCTAAACATCATGAGTTCACCATCTTGGCTGTACCCTTATCGCCTTTAGCTGTAGCACCGTACCAAGCAAAACAACGACACGCTGTGCACACCGGCCGACCGTAAATTCGTTTCATATTCACCTTTCTGAACCTCTGGTCCTCACCATCCCCTGCACAATCACAATTTGGTGGACAACGGTTGATCTTCCACATCGTCCCATCACTCACCATCCTATACAATAAACTACAATTCGGTGCGCATCTGCTGATCATCGCACCCATCCAATCCTCACGCACCTTTGCAGCAATTGCAATTCGGTGGAAACCGGTTGATCTTCATAGCGACCCAGCAATCACCATCCTATACAACATGAGTTCGGTGTACATTTGCTGATTTTCGCACCCACCCAGCCCTCACTATCTGCCAGGAAAGCCAAAAAACGATTTGGTGGACATCGGCTGATCTTCACAACGCGTTCCCAGGCCTCCCAGACATTCCCAGGCGCTTTAATCGCTATCTAAGCGCTCCCAGACTCGCCGTCGCCACCAGTAGCAACAACATCCACATCGTCATCTTCTTCAATGCCTCGTCGTCGCAGGGAGCGTGAAGGAGCAAATGAGTCAGATTGCGTTGGCGCGTGAAAATTTTCAAGGAAGTCGATCTTACAGGAACGGGTCGGGACAAGACCCAGGCACGCCCCAAGATCGTTCCGAGACGGCCCATCTGTGCTCAGAAAATGCAGAGAATGCAAGACTGCATTGCTGCGATAAGAGGAGAAGTCGATCTTATGGGAATGGCTTAGGGCAGAAGGGAATGATCCGGTGCACCCTGTGTGACCATAGAACCGTAACCCGGACACTCTGACCCCCAAGCCCTCACACCCGAACCCCGAACCCCACACGCCTTAACTCACTCACCCTAGCATCCTAACTGTAACCGTGCTGCCTTAAACCTGAGACCCAACCCTAATGCCCTGACCCTCACCCAAACACCCTGGCGCAAAAATGCCAACCTTGGCACAACACTTCTAGCCCTGACACCCTAAGCCTAACACCCGAATCTTAACACCCTAAGGCTAACACCCCAGCCCTGACACCCTACCGCCCTAACCCTAACCATAATCTAAACACCGCCACCCTAACCCCAACACCCTGACCCTAACACCCCAACCTCATGGCCAGGGGCACGAGATACTGGGAGTTGACAGCACCCTGTCGAGGGTGAAGATTCCAATGCTCCCCTTCCGGCGCAGTGATTGAGGCGAGAGAGGTTCCGATACACCCAGCCCCTCTTTCAATGTCCAAAAACACACCCCTTGAAGAGGGGATGGGGATCCACTGGGGTTGTTTGCTCATTGGAAGCCACACTTTGCAAATCCCAGATGCCACATGCTACGGCCCTCTGGGCCATTCGGAAACCAGCTGAAACATGTTGCGGCCGTCAGTCCCCCGGGGAAGCGAGACGCTGTATGTTACGGCCTTTGTTTTCTGGGCCCCTGCGGGAAATATGATGACAACTGTCACATGATAACCTTCGGAAGGTCGTTCCACATGATAGGACTCTCTGAACCGCAAGGACCAAATCTATCGCGTCTTACGGCCTTGCGTGTGGCTCTCAGAGGGTCGCCAAAACAGAACGCTGCGCTAGCACTGCAGCAGAACTTGCCGCAGGCACCTGGATAGAAGAGGTAGGTGAAAATCAGCACGTTGGATCCGAGGCCAAATAGCCAGAAGAACATAGTGCCAGTGGACACCTGGGTCTCGACTGCTGCAGACATCTCTCCCACGGCCGGTCCCGCGGCCGCCACCAGCATGACGAGGCTCGCACAAGTGATCGCGTCTGAAAGGTTCAGAGCATTGCCCCTCCAGGGCAGAATGAGCACGCTCAAGAGGAAATACCCCGTCAACACGCTGGCCATCACCATCATCTGTGCATACGGGCGAGACGGGTCGATGATCACAGAGATGCCAGTGAATGTGTTCCTGATGAGGAAGATGATGCCCCAGTACCAAGCACCGTCCCGGAAACGATACACGACGAACTTGAGGCTGCGCAGGACGTTTGGGTCAGTCAAACTGGTTTGGGGCAAGGTCATGATGCACCAAGCGTAGTAAGCCAGGAACGCAACAACCTCCCCGAATATGGCAATTATGGCAAAGGCGATCATCACTGTGTGGTCAGAGTCGCTGTCCCAACAAATGATATCAGGGTAATCCACCATGGAATACTTGCCATTGGGGTGAGAGTAACAACGAAACGGGCGTACAACCGTTATGAAGATAGCAATGAAGACCGCCTGGTACACTGTGAAATAAGTGTTCCATGTCTCAGGCCCCTTCATGTGCAACCGGTGGCTCACAGCAAAGACCAAGCGGGATAAGAACGACGCGCCGAAGAGCACCGCGCCTAACAGGATCGGGATGAGCAGTGTGAGCACGTAGCCTGTTGTAGCGCCTGAGCCGAACAGACACTCGGCGCGCACGGAGTCCAAATCGAAGGCGAAAATGGCGAAAGTGCGGAATATGTCGCGGTTGCCTGCAGGCCATGACACCGAGATCTTGGTGATGACCATTGCCAGCTGCACGCTTGTCACAAAAGTCCCGAAACTCAGGATGGCAGCTGACAGCTCTCCAAGCTTCGCAGTAACTCCCTGGTTGATGAAGAAGTAGGATCCGACAGGCAGTGTCAGTCCGAGGACGATCATTATTACCAAGCCAACGGCCTCGCCGCCTCCACACTTCTGACAAGTCCCGTCCGACCCGCGGAAGTGGTCATCCATGCAGCGCCCGCAAGCAAGCGAGCCAGCGTCGCGGTTCAGTGCGCAGGAGCCCGCTGGACCACCAGGGCATGGCGTGTTGTAACCAGACTGTGACAGCACGGCCTCCCCAAGAGCATCGCACGCGTAAACCTCATTGATAATGGCATCTTCACGCCCCGCAGAATCACCGACGCTCACTGCAGATGCTGGTATGTAGTAGCCAGGTTTGACGGACAGAGAAGTGTAACCACCATTGCTGACGTCTGTCCCTATTTCGAGTGCCAACGACGCACCTGCCGGACAATTGATGCCGATGGGGCACGGTTTGCAAGTGTCTGTGGTATCGTCCAAGTACTCGGTGTCCACCTGGCAGATGCATTCGGACGCGCTCGAGGACCCCGTGTACAGAGTCGTGCGGCCGTCTGGGCAAGATATGCAGCTGGACTCACCCTTCTCATCCTGATACCTGCCCACTTCGCAACGGTCACAGCTCGTCTGGCCTCGCTTTTCCTGGAAATCGCCAGCGACACACTTGGTGCAAACTGCGGCGCCTTTCTCGTCCGCGAACGTCCCTTCGGCACACTGCACCTCGTTCGTAGAATTCTCGTTCACAAAATAACCCGGACTGGAGAGCGTACACGCGGTCTGACCTGACACGTTCGTGTACGAACCCACAGGGCAAGCGGTCTGCGCCATGTAGGGCATTGACTGATCCTAGGAGGACACATCGACACACCGATGCTGCTGCCGTTGCGTATTCCAAGGCGAATCCAGCCGTGGTGACGGATGTCTCCCAAGAGGCCGGCGAAGATGAGGAAATTGCATCGGTGTCGTGATGTTCTCTTCGTCTGAGGTCCAATGCCATTTCGGGGACGTAGTCCGCCACGGTACCTGCACGCAGTGGGCGTGTTAGAATGCTCTTCTGGATTTTGTTCTGGCTTTTTCAAGGCCGACCCCCCAAACGGGATTGCATCCATCAAAGACCGCCCCACTGAACTTACTTTCCGACGCGCTGTTCCGCCTCCAGGCGACGAAGATGGTTCTCAAGACGGCTTCTGCCTTCAAAGCTACGAAGATTACACCAAGAAAGCCCAATATGCCCTAAGAAAACATAAGAGGCTCCCAAACGGCCTGAGGACGGCTCGAGAGGCTTCCAAGACGGCTCAAGAAAGCTTCAAGAGGCCATCCAGGAGAGTCCCCGGAGGCGAAAACAATGTTGACTTTCCTTGGGTATTCGACGGGTCCTGAAGTTCTCACCTGTTTGGGTTTCCGACCGCACAGGACGGGCTTTGAGGAGCTCCAAGACAGTCCATGAGGCTCCCAAAGTAAGCCCGATTTCGGTCCACGGGACCCCAAGATCGCCCAAGAGCCCCCCACGAGGGACCCACCACTCGTCTGGACTTCGTCGCTCCTGCGCTCGTGATCTCTCCTGCTGTGCTCTCGCACAGAGCACGGCGGCGGGGGGCGGCGGGGTTGGCCGCAAGCAGCAAGATAGCCGAGGTCCGCTAGCACGCACTCGCCCCTCTGCCAGTACGTGCCGTCGAGGCAGGTCTCCGCCCTGCCGAGCGGGAAGCCGCCGTCGAGCGGGCCCTCGCCGTTCGGCTTGAAGCACTTCTCGCCAGGGTAGTCCACGGAGCACGCGGCCAGGTCCGAGGTAGCCTCCAGGAAGTGAGGATTCTGGAGGCCGCGACGAAGAGCCAGGTTCTCCTCCTCCTCCTCCTCCTCCTCCTCCTCCTCCACCTCCTCCTCCACCTCCTCCTCTCCTCCTCCTCCCTCTCCTACCCGTCCTCCTCCTCCTCCTCCTCCTCCTCCTCCTCCTCCTCCTCCTCCTCCTCCTCCTCCTCCTCATTCCCCAGCTCGGAGTTCGTTTCGTTTCGTGCGCGACGCGCGTGCGGGAGAGGCTCGTCCGCGGAAGCCAAACCAAACAAAAATGGAACGCCACGCGGGCCGGCCACGGTGCGAGAAGTGCCCCGGTGGGGGTGCAAAATTGTTGTCCCGACGGTTGTTCCGATTGTTGTCCTGGTGGTTGTCCCGATGGTCGACCAGATGGTTGTCACGATGCTTGTCTCAATGCTTATCCCGATTGCTGTCCAGCATGGTTGTCCCGATGATTCTCCCGACAATTATCCCGATGGTCGTCCCGATGGTTCTCCCGACAATTCTGCCGATGGTTCTCCTGATAGTAGTTCGTCCCGATGTTTGTCCCGATGGTTGTCCCGATGGTTCTTCCCGATGGTTCTCCAGATGGTTGTTCCGATGGTTGTCCCGATTGTTCCCCCGATGGTTCTCCAGATGTTCCCGATGTTTGTCTCGAGTCCCGATGGGTGTCCATAATGGTTGTCCCGATTGTTCTCCCTAAAATTGTCCCGATGGTTATCCCGATGGTTATCCGGATGGCTATTCCGATCGCTGTCCAGAGTGGTTGTCCCGATGGTTCTCCTGATGGCTGTCCCGATGGTTCTCCCGATGGTTGTCCCGATGACTGTCCCGATGGCTGTCCCGATGGTTGCCCCGATGGTTGTCCCTATGGTTGTCCCGATGCCTGTCCCGATAATGGTCCCGAAGGTTCCTCCGAAGATGATCCTGATGGTTGTCACGATGCTTGTCTTGATGGTTGTCCGATGTCTGTCCAGGATAATTGTCCCGATGGTTATCCCGATGGCTATCCCAATGGCCGTCACGATGGCTGTCCAGAATGGTTGTCCCGATGGTTCTCCTGTTGGTTGTCCCGATGGTTCTCCCGATAATTATCCAGAATGGTTGTCCCGATTGTTCTTCCGATGGTTCCCCCGAATGTGGGCCCATTGGTGGCCTCGTTGGTGGTCCCATGGTTGTTCCGATGGTTGTCCCTATGGTTGTCCCGAAGGATCTTCCGAGTGTTCTGCCGATAGATGTCCAGGAGGGTTGTGCCGATGTTTCTCCTGATTGTTGTCCCGATTGCTGTCCCGATGGTTGTCCCGGTGGTTGTCCCGATGGCTGTCCCGATGGCTCCCCCGATGGTTGTCCCGATGGTTGTCCCGATGGCTGTTCAGAATGGTCTGCGATGGTTCTCCAGATGGTTGTCCGGATGGTTGTCCCTGTTGTTATTCCCCACGGCTGTCCAGAATGGTTGTCCCGATGGTTGTCCTGATGGTTGTCCCGATGGCTCGCCTGATTGTTGTCCGAATTATTCTCCCGATGGCTGTCCCGACGGTTCTTCCGGATGGTTGTCCCGACGGCTGTCCCGTAGGTGGTTATATGGTTGTTCCGATGGTTGCCCCAAATGGTTGTCCCGATGGTTGTCACGATTGTTCTCCCGATGGTTGTCCTGATGGTTGTCCCGATGGTCGTCACGATAGTTGTCCCGATGGTAGTCCCGATGGCTCTCCCGATAATCCTGCCGACGGTTCTTCTGATAGTTCTTCCCGATGTTTGTCCTGATGGCAGTCCCGATGGTTGTCCAAATGGTTCTTCCCGACGGTTCTCCCGATGGTTCTCCTGATTGTTTGTCCCGAGTTTTTCCCCATATTTGTCTCGATGGTTGTCCCGATGGTTCTTCCCGATGGTTATTCCGATGGTTGTCCAGAATGGTTGTTCCGATGGTTGTCCCGATGGCTGTCCAGAATGATTGTCCCGATGGTTGTCCCGATGGCTGTCCAGAATTGATTGTCCCGATGGTTGTCCCTATGTTTCTCCCGATGGCTCTACCCAAGGTCGTCCCGATGGTTATCCAGAATGGTTACTCCTGGTAGTTCTCATGTTAGTTGTCCCGGTGATTTTCCCGATGGTTGTCCCGGTGGTTTTTCCCAAGGGTTGTTCAGAACGATTGTCCCGATGCTTGTCCCGAATGTTCTCCCGATGGCTGTCCCGATGGTTCTTCCCGATGGTTGTCCCGACGATTGTCCCATTGGTGGCCTTATTGGTGGTCCCATCATTTTTCGGATTGTTGTCCCGATGGCTGTCCCGATGATGGCCCAGAAAGGTTGACCCGAATGTTTCTCCCGAGTGTTGGCCCGATGGTTGTCCCGATGGTTGTCCCAATGGTTGTCCCGATGGTTGTCCCGATGGTAGCCCGATGATTGTCCCGATGACTGTCCTGAAGGTTGTCTCGTTAAATATCCCGATGGTTGTTCAAATAGTTGTCCATATTTGTTGTCGCGATTGCTGTCTGGATGTTTGTCCCTATGGTTATTCTGGTGGTTATCCCATCGGTTATCCCGATGGCTGTCTTGATGGGTGCCCCGATGGTTGTCCAGAATGGTTGTCCCGGTGGGCCTCCTGAAAACTGTCCCGATGGTTCTCCCCATGGATGTCCTGATGGTTGTCCAGATGGCTGTCCCGATGGTTGGTCCGATGGTTTTACCAATAATTCTCCCGATGGTGTTCCCGATGGTTGACGCTAAAATCCGCTAGAAAACCAAAAGAAAAACTATGGTTCTGGCCTCGTGCAGCCCTCGAGGGGGTCCTCTTGGAGCCCCACGGGGGTTTCTTTGGCCGTCTTGAAGCCATTGTGAGCGTCTTGGGGCGCTCTGGGGCCGTCTCGGAGCCGTCTTGGAGCAACGCAATCGCACTCGAAGCTCACGCGAAGTCTTCGAATACCTCAGGTTGGAACCCTCCTGAAGGTCCTCCGAGCCTCAAGCCGAGCCCTGCACGAATAAGCATGTGTACAAACAGCGGATACATGGTGGACCCCCCCGCGTGGAAACTAAACAAACATCTCTTGAGGGGCCTTCCTGGGTCTCTCTTGGGCCTTTTTCTGAGATGGCACGAAAATCAACATAACTTTAACACAAGACGCTCTCAAAGGAGGAGGCGGTTTGTCTTAAATGTGTGTTGAATCCTTGGCCCTCCTGGAGGCTTCTTGAGGCCCTCAAAGGCTCTCGCAGGGCCCAAGAGGGCCACAAGATGGCTATCCAAGAGGGCCCCAAGATGGCTATCCAAGAGGGCCAGAATTTGCAATACCAATCTAACACAAGACGCTCTCCAATGAGGAGGCGGTTTGTGTTAAATGTGCGTTGAATTCTTGGTCCTTTCGGTAGGGTGTTAAGGGCCCTCAGAAGGCACCCGCAGGGACCCGAGAGGCCCACGAGGGCCACAAGAGGGCCCCAAGAAGGCTCCAAGAGGGCCCGAAATTTAGCACTGCACCAGCACCAGGGGCAGCCCAGGCAGCGCCAGCAGCATCAACGGCAGCTGTAACAACAACCTTTTGTAGCAACAACAACGAGAGCGGCAGCAAGGGAAAGATAATCCCAAGATGGACCCAACAAGTGTTTTAGAAGAAGGATCACGGGATTACCCCCCCTGTCGCCCCAAGATGCCCGCCCCTGCTAAAAACAATGGCCCAATCTCACCCCAGACAAGCCCTGCGGTCCCAAGAAAACGCCGAGACAAAACCATTGTCAGTCGACTGACTTAAGGCTACCGCGCGAACCCGATTTTATTCCGAGGTGGCCCTAAGACGACCCCATGAGTCCGAGACGACTTCGAAATTGCCCCAAGATGGCCCGTCTGAATGAACCTTAGTTGGCCCCAAAATTGATTCAATATGGCTCCAATGTGACTCCGATGCGTTTTTTCCTTCTCCCCTTGCTCTTGGGTCGGGCCGGTAGGGCGGATGGGAGTGCTGGCCCTCCACCCCCTCGTCGTCGATTTCTTCCTCCTCCCCCTCGTCCTTGTCGCCCTCGTCGTCGCTGTCCGCCTGGCCCCGCTGGCCCCATGCATAACAGAAAACCGACTCCCGATCACAAGCCGAATCCATCCATTCTCTGATGTGGTATCTTGTGCTTGGGCTCTCCTCTTTCAGCTGGTCCTTCAAGTGGAGATTGGCCAAGTGGAGCCATTTGGGCGCAGCAGCGCCCCGCGCGCTTTGGGCCTTGGAGCCCGTCTGCTTCTTGCCCGTCGCGTTTCTCATCGCCCTTGCGGCCAGGCCCACGATGGCGCCCGAAAAGAAGCGGTGCGTCTTGTCGCTCTGGGCCCTG